TATTTTATATTATATAAAAATTAATTAAAAATAATTTTAAGTGTTAATTTAAAAAAAAAAAAAAGAAAAGAAAAAATTCAAGACCTGCTTTTTAATTTAAAAAAATAATAATAATAATCAATTTTCCTCAATTTGTTTGAAATTTTCCACGTGATGTTTTCCATTTTCCAACGAAGAAATCAATTCATTTAAACAAAAAAAAAAAAAAAACCAGCAGGCCTTTTTTTAAATTTTATTAATTAATTTTTATTTAAAAAATTGCATGCATTTTAATTTAAATAAATAAATAAAAAGAAAATTAATATGGTTAGATTTTCGTTTTAAAAAAAAATTTTTTAAAAAATTTTAAAAAAATCTGCAATAAAGATCCATTTCTTCATTTTCTTGTGTTTCACAATCCGTAAATGGATAAGTCAAATATCCTGGATAAACATTCGATAAAAAAAAAACAAAACGATAATAATAATAACGATTTATACAATGAAAACAATTTAAAAAAAAAAAAGAAAAAAAATTTTTGCTGTTGTTAAAAAGTACGGCTGCCAAATATAATAACATTAACACCATAATTAATTTTTTTTTTAAATATATGTATGTATAATTTTAATTAGTTTAATTCGATAAACATTTTATTATTATTAGTTTTTTATATTACTACTCATATAGTAGGACAAGGTTCGGTTGAGCCCCAATAAGATTTTTTTTTTTTTTTTTTTTTTTAATGACCTAAAGAATATAAAATATTATATGGCGTAGGCAGAATTCCTGGCAATCGCTTCGAGGTTTTTTTTACAAATTATTATTATTATTATTTTTTTTTTTTCTTTACAACAATTTATAACCGATTAATTTCAATTCTCGCAATAAAATAACAAACAAACAAACAAACAAACATTGAAATGTGAATATTATTTTATATATTGTTTTGCATATATTATTGATTGATTGATACGAAAATCTATTTTCGATGGATTTATTTTGTGTAATTTCCCCCCCCCCCTCCTCCAAATTATTATTATATGTTACGTTTGCATTTTTACAATAATAATAATAATAATAATATTTGTAAGAAAATTAAAAAGAAAAGAATTAACATACACAGACAGAGAACGTAAATATAAAAAAACATAAAAAAACTCACGGAGAAAAATTTATGGCTTAAAAATTTTTTTATGCAATTTAACATGCAAATCATAAAATTAATAATTTATATAAATAACTTTTTGATTGAGGAAATGACGAATGATTTTACTTTTAGAAAAAAAAAAAAAGAACAAGAGGAGAAAAAAAATTCTATAATGAAAATTTATCAATTTTTTTAAATGAAACAATCATCGTCATCGATATTAATTTAAAATTAATGTAATGTACATATGAATGACGCCATTTTATATTTAAAAAAAAAAAAAAAAAAAACAAATTTTTTTAATGTTTGTTATATGGGGAGAGAGCGAAGGGAGGGGTAATTTTTAATAACAATTTGTTGTACGAATAAAAACATAAAAAATTTTTCCCAATAAATATTTGTAATTAATAAATGCGAATGTTTTTTAAAAAAAAAAGATGGACGAGAAAAAAAAAACACGAGGAAGGCTTCTTGTTAGGAACAAGTTAATTGCGTTTTTTATTATCTTTTTTTTTTCTTCAGACTGGACTAATATAAAAAGCAAGCTATTAGTTTTACTTAGTTTATAGCCTTTTGTGTCCAGAAAAAAGAATATAACTGATTTATATACAAGGTATAAAACTTAGACTTTTAATAGTTGCACAACTACTATTTATTATTGGTTTTTTTTTTTTTTTGCGCCTTCCCGCCATTCCCCCCCCCCGTCTCATCTACCAAGTTTATATTGCAGTTTTTTTTTTTTTTTAATGCTTTAGACTTTCAAAACTGTGATAGACTTAAAAAAAAAATTTAATTAAGTTTACCTATATAAAAAAAAAAAAAAAAAAATTTTTTTTTTTGCCAAAAGTTTTATTTATTTATTTATTTATCGATTATCGATTTGTTGTTTTGTTATTTTGAAATTAAACGAAAAATTCTTTGATGTTTTTTTTTTTTTTTGTTAAATAAATTGGCTACAAATTTAAATATGTGTTTGTTAAATTAAATTTTAGCCAAGAATTTATAATTTTTATATAAAAAAAAAAAAAAAAAAAATTGCAGGGAACCTTTTTTTTTTAAAAAAATTATAAAATTGGCAGCCATACTTTTTTTTTTTTTTTTTTTAAACAAAAATAAACGCATTTAAAAAAATATTTATGAGATGATAGAATTATTTTAAAGAAGAGAGAAAGAGAGAGAGAAAAGAAAAGTATTTTAATGTGTTTATGTGCGTTACCTTCGAGTATCATTTTTGTCGCAACTTCGTAATCACCACCGGCAATTTTAAATACAACGTATGCTAAAGGATATGCATCGATTCCGAGTCCAAAATCTTTAACCAATTTCATGACACAATTTCTATGATTTTCTAAATTTTTACCTATTTAACAACAAAAAAAAATTTTAATTTAAAAAAAAAAATTGTCGTCGACAAAATATATAAATTGGAATTTTTTTTTTTTTTAATTAGTCAGAACGAACACACCTTTATGTAAGTCGTAAAAAAAAAAAATTTTAGGGTTGAAAATAAGAGAGAATTTCACGGATCTAATAATAACGACATTTAAAAAAAAAAAAAATAAAACAACCACAAAAACGTAATTTTTTTTTTTTTGTTCGAGAGGAGTCTAAAAAATTTTTTAAAAGGGTCAAAACGATAGCCCCCTCAATTATTATCCTCCTGTCGTGACCTGGGATATTATTTCCTGTACATCAAAACAACGACCATTAATAAAAAAATTTTATTAGCGAAACAAACAAAAATAAAACTATATTGAATCATATATATATGAATGTTTTTAAAAAAGAAAATTATTATTATTATTATTATTTTTAAATTAAATTTTAAGGTTTTATTTAATTAAAGGTGTGAAGGGGAGAATCGCGGTGAATGCACGATTGCGTAAGACATTAGTTAATCATTGTAAAGAAAATTAAAAAATTTTTTTTTATACACGAATTGAGAAAAGGTCGTAAAATTCCAAGACGATGTCGAATGGCAGGAAAAGAATTTTCCAACGGAAAATACATTTCCCTTATTTTCTTAAATTTTTTTTTTGTTTCGAGAGAAACATAAAAAATTAAATCATAAAAAAATTGATGGCATTAAACACGATCCTCCCCCCCCCCCATTTCAAGATGTTATTTGTTATTAACAAAATATCAATTTGTTCCAAGTTTTTTTTTTTTTTTTTTTTTTTTACAAAGTATATAAATACATATTAAAAAAAAAAAAAAGGCGAATTTGAATTTAATTTTCTTGTTCGACATTAATTTTATAGCAAAATAAAAAAAAAAAAAAAAAACAACAACAACAACTAACCTGCCACATTAAAATTCGGTAAAGCAGTTACTGAAGTTGTTTCTAATTTTAAACCTGATGGTTCCAGTCCAGGAGAAGTTAATGATGTGGAAAAAAAATCGCTACTTCCATCTACCGAAATATGAGGAGATTCTTTTGCATATTTCGATACGAATATCGGATCTATCGAACTTGCTTTTATGCCTCTCGCCTCATCTTGGGCTTGAGCTCTTCTCAGTGCTGTTTGAGCCGCCATGACAGTTTGCCTCTGTAAAGTCAATATACACTTTGTGCATTTGCAATGTTTATATCTACAATATCTTTTGTGATTTTTTAATGCTATTTTTATGTCGTGATTCCTGCATCTGGCACAATTTGGAGGAGTTCGAGGTGTTAATATACCCGAACTTATACCATTACTGCTACTGCTTGCCGTAGCTATATTTACTTGATCGTGATTTCGTAATATGTCACCGTTGTCACCCATATTTTCTTTGGAATACATTTTTTATTTTTTATTTTTTTTTTTTTTGTCCAATTTTTCAACTTTTATTTATAGTCATTTCTATCAAAATTTATCATTATTATTACTACTACTATTATTATGTAAAAATTTGATCGATGAAAGTAATTTTCCCTGAAAAAAAAAAAAATTTAATTTGAAAAAAAAAATTTCAACGGTTAATGCATTGCCAACATATAAAAAAAATTATTATTATTATTACTGTGCTAAAAAAATAAACTGCATTAAATATACTTTTCGACATAAAAAAAAAAAATGCAAATTTATTATTATTTAAAAAAAAAAAAAATTTATATCTGCATTATTATTGTTTAAAAGGTAATAAAAATTCATTCATAAAAGTAACAACAACAATGGCTGGTTCGCCAAGCTTTGTTGTTTTAACCCGGCGGATAAATATTAAATTAAATTTTTTTTTAATTTTTTTCCTTCATTTAAAAAAAAAAAAAAATTAAAAAAGTAAGTAAAATAAATAAACCTATGTAAAATTTTTAAATAATAATAATAAAAAAAGGGGGCAAGAGAAGTAGAAAACCGATTAATTTTGTGTTTGTTTTTTTTTTATTTAAAAATTAATAGATAATAAAAATTTAAAATGTCATCTTATTATTTTTCTTATTCGTTCGTGATTTAAATAGATCAGAAAATTAATTACAATAATAAATCCGAAGCGAAACCGGGAACGAGCCACCCCCCACCACCACCACCATGTTATGTTGATAACCGTGAGAATATAAATTATACAAACTCTGACTTTAAAATACCTTGTAAATTTATACAGATTTTTTTTTTTTTTAAAGTCAATAAAAAAATCCTCGCCATTTTTTTCTTCTTCTTCTTCTTCCACGGTAACATTTATTTCTTTTTAAAAAACAAAACAATCAACGAAAAATTTAAAAAACTTTTATAAAAATGATTAAAAAAAAATTAATTCTTTTTCTAATAATAAATAAGTCTAGCAACGATAACAACAACAACAACAACAACAACTGTTGTTAAAATTAAAATCCTAAAAAGCTCTTTGACAATTTTAAAATTGTAATAAAAACACGTATGGAAAGAAAACAAACAAATATGGCAGAAAATCGTTTTGCATACATTTTCAACAATTTTTACGATCTATCAACATGTATATAAGATACGAGCCTCAAGAGAATCATTATATCCACTCAAAGAAAATCGTTAAAAAAAAAAAAAAAACTACTGTCAGTCAGTCAGTCAGTCTAGTGACAACAATAATGTATTAAAGTAAAGGTGGCAAAAAAATTATGCATTTAATAAAAAAAAAAAAAAAAAAAAAGGAAAAGAAGGAAAATTTAAATATTACTTGTTGAAAGGATAATTGCACGATTATTTTTTTTTTTCGTTTAAATAATAAAACTGTACAAAGAAAAACAAGTTCCCCCCTTTTTATATATTAATGGAGGTGTATGTTCTAACGTGGGAGTAGTAGTTACATAGAAGTTGATCATGATTGTCACAAGTTTAAGACAAATCTGGTATCTTACCATCATATCTAACTTAAATTTTCTTGTTTTTGATTTTTATCTAAATTTTTACATCTCCCTCCCTCTCTCTCTCTCTATATATGATATTATACTACTTTGTGGTTACAAACAAACACAAACACAAACTCATTGATACATACATGCCGAAATTTTCCTTTTTTTTTTTTTTTTTTTCATTTACATCAAATACATTTTACACATTTTTATGTTGTTTGTACATTGAAAACATAATTTTAATCGATCTTATTTTTTTTTTTATAGTCATTTTATATATAAATTGTAACGAATTTTCGAAAAACTATTTTATTTAAAAAAAATTAATTTTAATTCCAAAAACAAAAAAAAAAAAAATGTTTTTCGTTACAACTTTATTTATTTTTCTTTTTATTACCACTCAATATTTATACACCTGAAATTATTATTATTATTATCATTATCATCGTCATCGTCGTCATTATTATTATTATTATTGTTTTTTTTCATTTTTAACATCAAAAACATGATGATGCCTGGTTTTAATGATTATTTTATTACCTTCTGTGCCTTCTGGAATTCTTTTCTCTCTCTTTAATGATTAGCGAAAGCTTTTTTTTTTTTTCTCTGTGTGTCTGAATCATAGAAAACATTTCTTTCTCTCAGAGAGAGAGAAAAAAAAAATAATTGCAATAAAAAAAAAAAATTATTACTTATATCTATAGACAGTCGACAGTTGCTATAAACATGTTTCAATCAATTAGAAATATTTTTTTTTTTTAAAGCGCTCGCTCAGAAAAATAAAAAAAAATTAAAATAAAAGAAAAAGAAAAAACCTGCAGGATAACAAATAAATTAAATAATTTATTGGCAAAACTGCTTTTAAGTAATAAAATATTAAAAGTGTGCAGAAAAAATTTATGCTACGTGCGTGTCGTAAGTTAAGAATAAAATATATACATACTGTTTAAGTATAAAAATACGTAGGGGAGGGAAGAGAGGTGGAGAGTTAAAGGGGCCCCGTGGGGGGGGAGGTTTCCCTTTGATTTACTCAAATGAAAAATTCATTAAAAATGACAAAAATCTTTAAACTTTTTTTCCAAAAATTTCCATTTTTTTTTTTTTTTTTACAGTTTTCATAACAATAAGGATATGAAAAACAAAATTTCAAATTTTTTTTTTTTTTCTTTCTTTCTACCAATGTCTTTTACGGCAAGTTTTTCACAAGTTTTCCCAAGCAAGACGTGGTGTGAAATGTGTTTTCAAAGAAAATAGGATTTTAAAAAAGTCTTAAAAATAAACTTTCCGAATAGAAAACTAAAAAAAAAAAAAAAAAAACATTAAATAATTTTTTACGACGTACTTAAACAAGAACTAAAAAGTTATAATAGTCGGACAAAATATTAAGTTCATATTCAGGATTTTTTTTTTTTTATTGACGGCTTAAGAATATATAACTTTCATTCCTTCATTTTTTTTTTTTTTTATTCCCTCAGGTATAAATCACAAACAAAAGCATACCCCGTGACCGGAATTTCATCCCTGAATCAAAAAATAATTATTAAAAAAAAAAAAAAAAGACAAGTCACAAATTTTATTATCGAAATGTGAATGACCACACTTGAAAAAAATTCCCCCTAAATTCTTAATGAAATCGAGATTGGATTAATAGGATGTCAAATTTAAACCTGGACGAAAGAAGGTACGGAAGTCCATAAAAAAATTCGTAGGTACTTTCCTTAGGAAAGTCTGAACAAAACAATTAAACATGCTAAACGCCATCACGACAGATATTTCATGAATTGTACCATCAATTGATACAATTTGAAGGATCTCGGGGGGGGGGGGGCCTCGAAACCTAAAAATAAACCTACGAAAACAAACAGAAATACAGCAATTTTTCCAAAGGTACACACAATCATTTTTACTGATTCATTCAATCGGCACGCATCATAATAATAACGAGTCGAGGTATTTTTCTCACGAAATTAAAAACATGTTATACAATTTAGGCACATTTTTATCTCAATCAAGGTATACAAACCATATTTAACATTAATATTGTCATTAGTTAACAACGATAAAATAAATAATTTTATAAAAAATAATTAACAAACAAATTTTCTTTTTTTTTTTTATCCAACATGCGACCAACTTCATTTTTTTTTTTTTTTGTCTCTCTCGATTTCTTTATGATAAAAAAAATTAATTTTTGGAAAATTTTAAATAATTTTTCCATAAAAATACTTTTAAAAAAAACGTCAGTCAGTCAGTCACTTTGTGAATTATGCACCACAATTAAGTCCAAGTTTTGTTTTTAGTCGAAAAAAAATTATTTCATTTCACGGTGGTCAATTGATATAACTTTTAAAACTTAAAATTTAAAAAATTATGTAAATTTTTACCTTATTAGTAACGGAGAACGAAATGAAAAAAATTCAACTCGATATTAATGAAATAATTTTTTTTTTTCTTAACACAAATGACATCTGAAAAAAAAGAAGAAAAAAAAAATTTCAAATTAACAAAAATATAAATTATAATATATATACAAGAATGCCCACACTCGCACACGCACACGCACACCGTTTATGATAAAACAGAATAAAAAAATAAAATAACAAAAACTTTACAAATTTTTTTTTTTTTTTTTTATAACTAATTACAATAAGGCGTAAAAAAATATATAGTTTGACGAAGATGTAAAAAAAATTACAACTTATTATAAATATGTGAAATTTTATAACTATATAACCCATTTTTATATATATATTTTATTATACTTGTAAAAAAAATTTATTACTTAAAATGCTAAAAGTTATATTAGTTATTGTTGTAAAAAAAAAAAAGAAAATAAAACAAAAAAATATATAAGAAAACAATTCTCGCAGATATCAAAACAATACTATAATACATACTAAAATAATAATAATAATAATAATATTACAAACAAATTTCCGTTATATAATATATATATATATATATATATATACTATTGATTGATACGTATGTATGTACATATATACAAATATATTTTCGTAAATTATTTTTTAAACGATTTGATAAAAATTTAAATATTTAATTTAATCCTACATGTAATCTTTTTTATGCAATTCCTAAAAATATTATTATTATTATTATTATTAATAATTTTTTATTTTATTACTTTTATATATAAAAATATAAATATTATTATTATGAATTTTTTTTTTATATGGTAACAAAAAATTAAAAATATATAATCTTGCTACATTAAATATTTTATATATATAAAAAAATATATATTTATATATTGGAATAAAAATAAAATAAATTATATATATATATAATATCATTTAAAAAAAAAAATTGAATATAAAAATATAATAATAATTAATAAATTTAAATAAGAAAGTAAAAAAAATATATATATATAGAAAATCCATATAAAAATGCCGTAAAATCTCTCTCTCTCTCTCTCTCTCTCTCTATCTATCTCTTTTTATATTTTTCATTTCAAGG